AAATTACTGAGAGATAGTCCTTGAGAAGAAATGGTAGACTTACAATTCCTTTTACTTTTATATTCTGAACAATTTATCATCGAAGACACTCAGCAAGACACTGAGTTTATATAGCAAAGTTTAATTTTTCCCCTCAACAAACTCTTTTTAAGTTCACCAATGTGGGCTTAGTCAGAGAAATATACTTTTCATTCGCTCTCAGAAATTACTCTCAAATACTGCAAGATTATTCAGTGTAAAGTTGTTGATTTCTGCTAGCATGCATAGTAAGCAAAAGTCTATCAACATTGTTCTTTAGTCTGTCTTGTAAAAATTTCATAATCTTAATAAGGATTAGATAGATCTATGCATGGTGGAACATTCCTATAATCTCGATTACTCAGGAGTTAAACACATGAGGATTGCAAATTGGAGGTCAGTCTAAGCAAAGTTAGGGAGAGTATCTCAAAAACAAAAGAAAACATAAAGGTCTGGGGGTACCACTCAAGTGTCAATGGCAAGGCCCTGGATTCAAGCCCCCGTGCCACACACACACATAAAGAAATGGAAAGAAAAAAATTAGATGGCCTTAACTGAAAGTGAGGATTTCATTTGGTAGATGAAGTGATGTGGTGCAATTTAATGTCCTTTTTGACTCACAAGTGTTCAGATTTTTAAAGAAAAGCCTAAAATGTGACAGCTGGAGAAGACCATAGAGAGCCTCTCCTCTCTTACAGGGTATCCACAGAGGCAACTCATGCAGAACTCATGAAGTGAAATAACGGCGTCAACAAGGCTGGAAGCTATTTCTCTTGCCTCTTGGCTGAGTATTCTCCACTGTATCACGATGTCTCTATGTGAGTGACTTCTTGATTAGAGTGAAGGAGTATGCTTAAATTTTTAAGTTGCTTGGTGAGCTAAAACTGAGGCAAGGATAAAGTAAATGAATTGTGGGAGGACTAGACTAAATTATGTGATTTAAGGATGATTCTAATTATTTTATTTTATTTTGCATCTTACTTTATATTTTTATTTTAATGTGACAAGTAAAGTCTAGGATATCCACATGATCAAAGATAAAACCAACATAAATTATTCAACCTTACAACTGCCAGTGTTAAGCTCTTGAGAGATGGAGACAAGTTATATCTCCACCTTTAACTGGAACGACAAATACAACCCAAACTTTAGAAAACATTGGAATGTGGAAAATTACAGACACAGTAATATCCTAAATGTAAGAAATACTGTGTTTATTTTATCTTATAATTTTGTATCAATCTCAGATTAAGAGAAGTGTCTTTGTGTGCATCAAAACCCTTAATCTTATCACAAAAATTTGCTCCTCTTATTTATGTGTAACTCATACATAATCTCATGGTTAACAAAACACATTTATAAGATTTGACTTCTTATTCATTTTAAAAATAAAGAAACGAAAGTCATGGAAGTGAAGCAGTTTTTCAAGAGTAGAGCTTTGGATTATAGGAATCAGCTTAGAATCCTGACACTGAGTCTAGAATTTTTATAATTAATTGCTTTCCCATATCAAATGTTAATATTCTGCCCTCTGGTGGTTATGTGGTGCTACTGCAGCTGCAATCATTTGTGTACTTCAAGACCAGGTGAAAACGGAATTGTTTAACTACTTTGTAGCAGCGTATCCAGTTACCACACACTCAGTAACTACTTCTTTGTATTTCTCAAGACTACTAAAAGACAGACTACATAATTATCATTATCTAAGTGTCTGCAAAATTAATACTTCTTTTTTTAGTAGGCTGCCTTAAAACAATCCCAAGGTCACTAGTTGCTCTAACCTACGTCATTCTGTAGTAATAAACCAGGTAACTCCCTCTGTAAATCCAAGAATGACTGAAATCTGTATATACTCATTGAATCAAAATTATATGCTGAAACACCTATTCATCCAATTAAGTACAACGTGGAAGTTAACGCCTCATCTCCAAAAGAAAAGAACTTACGGAATGACACTATTTTAAAACGACATGCCTAACATCACCATCTAACAGTTGGAGATTAGGAACAGCAGAGATCTACACCAATTTACTACACATTGTGAGGTTAATAAGAAGGCTGTCTGCTGGAAACAATTGTGTGAATTCTAGTTTATACAATATGCTGCTTTGCTCACACAATTTGGCAAGAGGACTCTTGTGCTTCCAGTGAAAAGTGGTGCCCTTTTCATTGCAAAAGCTTTCTAAAACACTCCTACATGCAATCAAATATTACTTAAAAATAACTAACTCAGCTTGTGGCATGCTAGTAAGTGACTTTCTTAATAATATTATTACTTCAAAAAAGGAAAGCTAAAAGGTAAACATAATTTTTTTTCAAGCTCAGTACCCTTGCCAACTCTTAAACATTTGGTGTATGTTAAGGTTTCAAAACTGTAATTCATCAGAAATTAGGTACACTCTGCATGCATTTTTATTTAGCACTTTTTAGTCATCATTTTTTCAAAATGCACTTATGGAGCTCTTATTTTGTGGTATTCAAGCACCATGCCCATTTTGGGGGTTATAATAGTGAGAAAGATTTGTAGAACTCATAGCAAAGGAGCAAAGGCACAATGGAAAAACACATGAAACCATCATAAATTCTCTCTAAATGGTGATGGAGAACTACTTTAAGAGGTAATTCTTCAGCTGAGGGCCAAAAGAAAAGAAGAGTTATATGCAGAGGGAGATGGGGGAGAAAGCAGTAAAGGGACCAAACAAAGCCATGGCAAACACTGAGTCAATAAAGACTCAACTTGTCCAGGGAGCTGAGTTAAGGCCTGTGATTCTGGACCCTCTTGCCTATTGGGCAGAGGATAAGGATAAGAGTTGGAGTTAAAAAACAGAGTAGTGACCAGATTTTGAAAGATGTTAGAGACCAGGCTCAGATGAATAGTTCTTTTCTAGTCTCAATAAGAATCTATCCTCACAAACTACAATGGAAGTCTCTCTAAAAAAAAAAAGATATACATAATATCAAATGGGTTATGATAGCGTTATGTGGAGGGTATGATGGGATCTTCAAATACACAAAAGTAGCATTTCAAAACAATAACTAACTTGCATATGTTACAAATGTGTTTTATACAAGTTGAGTGTATAGCTGGTCAAGCTGGAAGTATTCAAATATGTGTTGTTTTGAGTACAGTGTAACATACCTAGTACTTTGAATATTAAGTATGGGTACTTACAGGAATTATTCAGAATTCTTATATGTTCTTGAGGTTCTTCAAACTTAAAAACAGAAGCCTAAGACACTGCACTGTGAGTATTCTGTTGAAGCTGGGCCTGTAATTCCAGCACTTAGAAAGCAGTCTGGGAGACCCTGAGTTTGAGGCAAGTCTTGGCTATATAGCAAGACCCTGTGTCAAAAAAGAAAGAAAGGAATAAAAGGAAGACACTTCCATTCAGTTTTCTTGCCTTAAATTGAGCTAAGTAAACTGAAGAATGTGTTACAGAAATTATGCTGGTAGGTTCTGTGCTGTGAGTATGACACTGCTAATTATATCATAATAATGCAAAACATGCAAGAATTGATCATTTGTCTGAAGACTAAAAATCAAAACACAGAATAAACAGGTATGAAAAGCTTATCAGAAACAGATTTGTTGCACAGGAAAACTATTAACCTTTGATAAGTAGTCATAATAAGAAGTTAAAATTCTCTGGAATAGTGATCACTTGAGACTAGGAAGGGTACAGAGGAAGTAGGATGACAGAAGTTAGATAATAGATACCAAAATACAGTTACTCAGAGGAATAAGTTCTGGAGTTCTGTTCTGCAACACAGAAGGGTAAGTACAATCTACAACAATATATGATATATTTCAAAATAGCTAGAAGAGTGTGAAGTTTTCCAACACATAGAAATTGTGAGTGTCTTAGGAGACAAAATGCTAATTACTATGATTTGATCATTATACATTAGTATAATGTATAAAGTATATAATATGTATATAGTATAATGTAGTTATGTATCAAATCACTATACTGCACTCCATAAATATGTAAAAACATTGTGGCAATTTAAAATTACAATAAAATATGCTTTGTAATCTATTCCCACAGAACATGTCATTATCAATGTATTGTATATTCTTTTACATAGTTTTTACAGTTTTCATTACTTTCTTTATATCAACACTAATATCTCCTCATTTTAAAATCTTAATATAATTTTACATAATTTTATAACTATCATCATTTCCCTTATTTCAACAACAAAGTATCTTCATTGCTAAATCTTATTAAATGTGTACAAGACAGAAATAGTAAAAATTGCCCACTTTCCATTTTTTAAAAAAAGATTGGTAATTCAGAAGAAGAACCAATAACCTATAACTGGTAAAATAAGAAAAGGCTTTGAGTAGGAGTCTTCAAAGAGAAAAGGGGAACAAAATGACAGACACAGAACAAGATTGATAGGATAATGGCTCCATCTAGCACTCTTGAATGACAGAAGAAGCAACACAATTGCAGGGTCCTCTCACATCCCAACCAAATGGAAAGCCAAGGTGCCTTTCCAAGGTGGGCTCAGCTGGATCCACTTCTCAATAAACATTCCATGAACATCTCCTTACCACATTCTACTAAACTGGAATGCTAGTGCTGCTTATTAGTCAGTATTTGATCAGCTGTTTCCACATATAGTCCTTGTCTACCTACCAACATAAAGAGTCATGGGTGGCTGGCTTGGGTGACATGTTGGGACTCATATTTGACAAACCTCACCCTGATGAGTCATCATTGGAGCTCACATGAAAGTCATTTTAAAGATTCACAAAGGACTTGCATCTTTGTTAATAGGACATCATTTCATATATAACTAAACAAAGTACTAATGAGATGGTATCCTTCAAATTAACAATGAGGAGCAAAGGAGTCTTGAAAAAAAGCCAACACCCTGCTTTCTGAGTGCTATATAATCTCCCCAGCAAAGTTAATCTTCAAACTTGGCACGTTGAGTCCTTTTGACCAACTTCAATGAAGGGTTTTAGCAATATGTCTCATAGTCACCACCACTCATTCAGGAGCTTCGGTAAGGCTCCATCACTCTCTGCCATTGTACATGGCTCTAATCCTGTAAGTTTTGAAGATGGATTGTTTTTGCCCAGCAACTGTCACAGCAGAACCTGGCTCCTGGACAACATTCAAGAAACCTGCAGGGATACCTTCAGCTGCCAACTGACCAATTGTGAACAGGACCAGTTCACAGAGAATTCCTATGTGCAAAGTTCCTGCTTCCCCAGAGTTGTCCAAACAACTCGTTCCAATTCCAAGTCCTGTGAAAGAACAAACTGCCAGTCAGGAAGCTCCATAGCAGTAAAGAAGTGTGCTGCTCAGCCCTGCCAGTCAGGAAGCAGTCAGAAAATGAGTTTTATAGACCAGAGCTGCCAACCTGCGAACTACATGGCAAAGTGCTGTCCAGTAAAGGCTCCTTTGTCTAAGAGTTACCAAACTCTGGAATATAAATCCATTCAGTGCCAAACTCAGATCCCTGAATCTAGTTCTTATAGACCCTTGGTCAGTGTTGCATCTGAGCCACAACTCCTGGAATCTTCTAGCACTTATGAACCAACTTGCTGTGTTACTGGTGGTTTGCAAATGCCTAGTAAGTGAAGAATCTTTAGGGGAGGTGGCATATTCAAATTGATTTCTGAGATATGTAGGATCTTTAGTTCTCTAAGTGCAAAATATTGTGTGTGTTTGTGAGTGAAAGAAATGTTTTCTACTATCTCCAGAAACAAGAATTTCCTTTTCTTTTGGGGCATTTCTTGTAGTAAGCGGGAGTTGGAAAGCATGTTAAATATTTTAGATCAGTAGCACGCTATTTATTACAGAGCAGAAATTTGTCACCTTGTAATATCATGAGACTGTAAAAAGTTATCCTTACACTTTGATCACTAGTTATTGTCTATGGAAATATTTAGCATTGGTTCTGGCTTATTAATGAAAGTGATGCTAATATAAGAAATTCAGAAAATATTGGAGTTAAAACAGACCTAGAAGTCAATGTAGTCCTATAAATTCTGATGGGTTCAACTGTATCAGAAATGTTATCAACATTAAAAACATAACGAAAATCTGAGCCAAATTGTATCATTCGTTACTTTATTCACTGAATCCAAGCACACTTATGTTAACTGGGAGGTGAAATCTTTTCTTGAAAAGTGCAAGAGAATTTTGAATTTCATCTGCTGTGGACTTTAGAACCATGAAGTAACCAAAACTCTTTCAACAGAGTAAGTTTAAGTTTAGAATCTTCACTGCCTTTCTACTATTTTCCCCTAGTATTTAAGTGCTTTTTGAGTGGAAAAATGTTCTTTCTTTTAAATAAACTTCTTCACTTGGAATTATAACCTTAATTGTCAAATATTATTTTTATTAAAACTTTTTGTGAGTTTTATAGCTTTTTTATATGTGTGAGTTCTTTAATTTTTTAAATAAATATCACTTTAACAGCCTCTTCATTAACTTGGTATGTCAGCAATATATTCTGAGGTATGTCTATCTTAGTATCTACAGTTCTAAATCATTCTTTTTAAATTGCAACTATGTCACTTAATTGTCAATTTCCTGAAGTAATTAGTAGAACACATCCCACTTTCCTATAGGTGCTGTTATCATTCCTGATTTTCTAAACCAAGAACCACATGAATTACATTAAATGTTAAAAAGACAAAAAAAAAAAAGAAATCACTTGTACAAGGTGAATGTCCACTACTACATGTAGTTTTCAAAACCAAAGTTTCACCTAACTTTTATTTGTGTCTTTTTTCTATTATACTTTATTTTTATTATTGTTGATAGGGGATGCCAGTGGGAGGGAGGATATAAGAAAAGGGAGTTGGAAGGTGAATATGGTGGAAATATTCCATACACATATATTTAAGTGGAAAAATAAGACTTGATGAAACCTTTCCAGGAACAAGGGTAGGAAAGGTAAGGAAAATAATGGAGTTTTGTAATTTTGAGGAGATTGTTTAACTTGACAATAATGACATAAATAGTTGAAGAAAGAAAGAACATAGTCCCTTAACCATAACTTTTGTAGAATGAGCCAGAATAAGATAACACTTTTGGGGTAGTCATGAAAAAGGCAAAACATACTCAACGTAAAGATCATAAGCTCTTTCACAGTTATGTGAAATTCATTAATTTCATTTAGGTAGCTTAGGTATTCTGAAGCTTTGAGTATATTCTTAAATGAATCTCTCAGTTTAGTGGACCACACAAAGCAGTGCTTCAGAGCATGGGCTTTGAAGTCAGATTTCCTCTGGCGTTGAAATCTTCCATGTGCTGGAGGAAGGTTGTTTGAAAACCCTGACTGTGTGAGTAGGTACAGTTTTTGGGGTGGGAGGGATACTGGGGTTTGAACTCAGGGCCTTATGCTTGCTAAGCAAGTACTCTACCGCTTGGTCATGTTCCCACCTCATTTTCCTTTAGTTTATTTTTCAGATAGGGTCTTATGTTTTTGCCTGAGGCCAGGTTCAGATCATTACCTTCTTATCTTGACCACCCCATTCTCTGCTGGGAACACAGGCATGTACTAACACTCTAGACTCATGGTACAAATTATTTCATCACTCTACATTCCATTTTTGTCAACCACAAACTTGAATTAATAAGGGTTGGACACTATGAAGGTGCTCAAAACAGTACTTGTACATGGTGCTCATTAAGAGTTAGCACCTAGTTAAATCTACCTCAGAAACTCAGTACACAGGGGTGATGGAAATTTATAAATAAACCCAGAAATCTAAAGCACATTAGGAAATTTAGTCATCCCAGAAACAGAGATGAGCTGTTTCATATTTTGGAAGATGTGGACAGCATCTTCTACTAAGGGAAATGATGAAGAAACACATGCCATACCTGAAGTAGCCTAAAAACTATCTCTGAAGCTATGACAAAGCTAATGTAATTGAGACTTTACCAGTCAGATTCATGGGTGACTGTGGTGGGAATTCTGTGTCAAGTTGACTGAGCCATGAAACACCCTGATGAGATATCATTTCTGGGTAGATATGTGAGGATTGTCTATATGAAATTAGAATTTGAACTCAGTGCATAGTCTTTCCCATTTTGGGTGGGTATCATGAAATCCATCAAGGGCCTGAATGAAACAGAAGTTGGGGGAAGGAGAAATTAGTTATTTTCTGGCTTACTGCCTTCCTACTTGTGCTAAGACACTGATCTTCTTCTGTCCTTTGTCTGAGATTTATAGCATCAGTTCCCATGCTTCCCAGGCCATCACATTTAGCCTGGAATTATACTGTAGGCTTTCCTGAGCCTCCAGTTTACAGATGTCAGATTATGGGATTTATTAATCCTAATCCATAATCATATGATTATCAAAAAATCTGACACCACTAATTATCTTCATAATTAATCTCACATATATATATAATAAGTATAAAATAGATTCTATCTTTAAGGGATAATCCTGACTAATAAAGTGTTCTAGACAAAAAGAAGTTAAACCTAAATTCTATGAACCAACTTGCTTTTTAGAGGGTTGGAATTGAAGAGGAGCTGAGAGAAGTCTGAGAGAGTTCAGCTGAACACCATTTGTACCCATCAATGGTAACAGAGAATGTGGCAACCGAAGATCATCCCTGTAGCCAGAGACATTGCTATAAAACTTCTGACCATAGTAGGGGTGCCAGCAAATAGTATTGGCAATGAGAAAGAGAGACTTCAACTAATGGCAGCTTCTCAGATTCCAAGCCAGCCAATTACTTATACACACATGAAATTCATTCACATAAAGATTGTTGCTAATGAAACTCAAATTGGATTATTTGGGAACAGCTTGTTCATTTGGGCCATTGTTTATAGCATGTGCCTTTCAAGTCTATGTTCCCTACTTGGGTATAACTTTTTGGGAAGAAAGAGGAATATCAAAAATTAATTAAGTATGGTAGGGCTATTGTGGAGGGGCGAGGGAGGAAGAGAGGCAGGGGAATGTCAGGAGAGAGGGACAAATTTTATTTTTTCAACATGGTCACTCCCTCAGGGAGACATAGTTACTTTAGAGCTCTTCATAAAGAGTAACTGTGTGACCTCAGGTACAAAATACTTTTGATATTTGAATAACGAATGGTATAATTGCAAAAAAGAACCTTAGTGGGAAGTTTATTGTAAGGGGAAGACCATGAAACTTAGATTTTGACTAAGCTTTGCTCAATTCCTAATTTTGTCATTTACTACTGTGTGTTCTGGGACAAATTGATATTTTTCATGTGGAAAGAAGTGGAGCAATATGGAACAAAACCTGGATATTCTATGCAGAACTCACTTTAAAAAAGCATAGAAACAGCCCAGTGGACACATGCTACGGAACATTCTTCATAGATCAGTGGATTTGTTCCTTCCTGGAAAGAAAGGCTGTAGCAAGACTAGTGTGTTAGTATCCTAGACCCATCAAGACATAGGTCCTTAACTACATGCTTTTCTCTTGGGAGTCAAGAATAATGACAATCAGGAATATTTACTTCCACAATACTGAGCCATTAGCCACAATGATCAACTTAGTAATTGAGCATTTATTATTTACCAACTGTTATGTACATGACTTCTCATTTTAAACTCAACCTATTGGAATAAATATTATTTTAATCCCATTTTTTCCAGTTAGGATGAAAACTCATATGCATTAAGTTGTTCAATATATGTAGTAAATATACTATATTTTTAATACATGGGTAGGATTTCAAACCTTGAGCTATAACTTCTACCTATCTTTATTACATTATACTTCCAGCCATCAGAATTGCTTCAAATGTGGGGAAAATTTTTCTTCTGTATTCAATGTCTGTAGAAATAGTTTTATTGAAAATGATTGGTCTGGCTACATTGTACTATTGGGAAACCGTAGAGGAGAAAGCAAGAGAACTAAGTGTAGTTGACTAAATGACTTGTTTGTAATTCTGGAGTAAATGCTAAAGAAAAAGAGTACACATTCATTAGAGGTTTGTAAAATAGTAAGCACTTGAAATATCTTAGAAAACCATAAATACTAACCTAAATCATGTGAAATTGACAAAGTCTAGGCACAAGTAAGTTGTTCAGATGTTATAGAGTAAGAACACTCTACAATATAAGTTTTGCTATCTTAATGTTAGTTACTTCATTTTCCATATCTTTTAGTGTCCACTTTTTTCTTTTTGTTTTTTTGAGCTAGAATTTCACCATGTAACCTAGATAGGCCTGGAATTTGCTATATATACCACTTGACCTCAAGCTCTGGATCTTCCTGCTTCATTCAGCCTTCTGAGTGCTGGAATTACCACTGTGTGTCTCCACAGACTGCTTCTATCATTTTTTGGTTAAAGTTTCTTTTGAAAAACTTGAGTTCATTGTAGATACTGATGGGAGGCAAAGAGCAGACTTTGTTCTACATTGTGTGAGAATGAATGGCAGAATTTTCTTCCCAAAGACCTATTTTCTGTTTCTAAGTTCAGGAATCCCACTTACTTGCTAGCTTGAGAAACACTGAAATAGAACATCATTCCAGATTCTTCAACTTGGACTCAAAATAATAAATGATTGGAAAAATAGATAATAAAAAGCAACAGAACTATGATATTGGTAAGGGATAAAATGCACCATAAGAA